CAATATGTGAAGATGTTTGTTATATGAATACAGGCCAAACCACAGCAGTCTCAGTTGTTGAATGTGGTACCTAAGTACTGTACATTTACTCAATTCTTTTACTTCAGTATTCCCATTTATTTTATTTTTAAAAATAATATTGTATGTTTTACTTCATTACATTTATCTGACAGCTTTTGTTACTAGTTACGTTTTAAATCACAATTTCTCATATCCTCATTGTCCAATGAATGCAACAGATGTTTAAATGTGTTGTTTCTGAATTTTTTCTGATTCTGAATTTTCTGATAAAGGACTAAGTGTTATTATCCATCTTGCAGAGTGTACATTGACTTATTTTTTAACTCAATTTATTGTTATGTTTGCTGATTTTGCTCTATGTATAGTTAAAATGACCTGAACATTAAAGGGGCATGCGTAAAAATTGCAAAGATTCCACAATTAATCTGCCAGTGCCATATAGCCTATGTGTTCACTCATTTTGGCAGGACAGAGATAGTAATAGACTTGGGCACAAAATAAGGACATTTCTACTTTGCAAAATGATTCCTATTTTTGTGACTATTAACTATCTGATCTTATCTATGCATTTTCTAGTGTGACCTCGTTGGGAGCCTAATTTACCTCCAAAATTGGACAAAAACAGAGAAACATATCACATCTTTGAATCGCACATTTAAAACAAAAAACTTACTTCTATTATTTGAAGACACGTGAATTGTATCAGACTTTTGTCTAGGAAGCCACCAGAGAAGTGGTCAGAATCTTTTAAATCCTGAAATGCGTTGATCCAGAACTGTGCGTGCTGCTTTCTTAAAAATCCCCCCAATGCTCTATCCGTTGGTTGTGGTTGCTTGAACCATACAAATAGCATCTACTAGAAAATTCATCCATATGATCATGTCTCAGGAACATCTGCATCTGCTCCATGTAACAGTTCTGTCCCTAGGTCCGATCGAATTCTGGTAGCAGTACCATTCCTTGACAGCACCTCATCAATAAAGTATCCAGCGATGACTTTAGGATTACTACTTGTAGAGTATGCATGTAGCCATATAACCATTCGAGAAAACCCGTCTATTGCACCATTGATGCATATCCCATATGGTTTGAGCTTATCATATGAATCTACGTGCCATAAAAAGTTTGGGCCTGGATTTTGGTACAGACGCCGCCGAAGGCGATGCTGGCGCCTAAGCTGCACTCTGTGGGGACCCAGTATTTTCAACAATTGTCTGATTGTTTCTTGAGTCACCACAAGGCCAGCCTGAATGCATTTCAGATGCATCATCTTGTACCCGTGAAGCATTCCATACTGGTCCAACGGATTCTGGAGAAATGCTGCTATGTCCTGCAGATCAGAATGGGCTTTTCGCCTGAACAACGGCAAAACCTTGAGGTGCCTGCGCAAAGTAGACAAACTAATAACAATGCCATCTACATTACTTAAAGCTGCGAGTATTTCGCAGTGTTTCAAACCCAAACCAAAATAAAACTGTATTAATCTAAGGAGTGACATTGTTGCAGTGAGCTCTAAAGTAGGCGAAATGAGAGTTTTTGAGGTTAAGTCAGAAAAACAGAGCGTATTTTTTTTTTTACATGAAAACCGTATCTCGTTAATTCAGAAAAACGGAGCGTATTTTTTTTTTTTTTTACATGAAAACCGTATCTCGTTAATTCAGAAAAACAGAGCGTATTTTTTTTTTACATGAAAACTTTATCTCAGAAATTCCGAGATAATTATGTCATTAATATAGAAATTCCGAGATAATTATGTCATTAATTCAGAAAAACAGAGCAGAATTCTTTTTTCTCAAGTGAACGCATTACGCTTCCGTAGTATGCTGTACAGCACTTCGGTCAAGGTGTGTCGTTATAAAAGTGCTTTCAGATTGAAATTACACACCAGGGGTCGCTGTCCAGAAAGCCTTCTGGACTGCGTTGTTAGCCGTCATCACTATGCGACAATCGGGTCAGAAAACGGGAAGTTTGACTTGGAGGAAAATAAGGAAGCTAACCGGCAGAGTTTCCTCTCGGTGTCATATCTACGCCTGTTTTGGGTATTCTTCAAGGGTTTTAGGTCTTATAATTGTTATTTTTGCAAGCTTATATGCTGGGGGACATTTTTTTTTATTTTTCAAACATTTAAGTTTTTGTCATGTTGTGTAGCTAAATAGTTTAAGTTTAGTCATATTTTTGTTATAGACAGGTAGTCATGTCGCAGAGGACAGAGAAGTCACTTCATGAAAACTACTGAGTAAGATTTAATAAAGATTTAACGCCTAGCATCCAGATTTACTTAGGAACTGGAGCTGTTTCAGAAGAGTGGAAATGTTGAACGTCCCGTCGCAAGCGTTCCCGGCACCCAATTCACAGCAGCGGGTCTCTCAGTCAGCAAGAAACAAGGTCAGTTATAAAAGCTAGTGTTTCTCACGGAGCATTTCGTCGCTGTACACCACATACAGTACATGCAGAAGCTGCCTGTGCTGCACCCGATTCAACAGCTAAGTTAAATATCAACACACGGTGTAGAAATTAATATAATATACAAATGAAGTAGATAATTGTACTAGGATCGGAAGTGGTGATGCCCACTTAACGTTAGTGGATTTTATTTAAGTAGTGTGCTGTGTTGGACAGGATTTTAAGCGTTGGAAACATACGTGGTCATACGTAGGTGCTTTTCATGTAGGCCGATCTTATAATTAATAGCTATGATATTAACAACACTCACGATAAGTATTGAGTTTCTAATGGCGTAGTACACTTGGGAAATTAAGTTAATAAGAATCATAGACCAACCACAGCACAATTGTGGTGTGTGTATAAATAATACCTTTGACATTGTATCGTGAAAATTATGAATGACCTGGTATAAAGATATAAATGTATTACATATGAATAAGGTATTACATTAGAATAAAATTGTGCAATGCATGTTATGCAATTAATCCAATTTGCAGTTTTATTTGTTGGAATTGTTTACCCCAAATGGGACTGAATTGGCTATTATTATAAGAGCTGAAAATGGAGAGGCAGACTGTTCTCTTATTTTCCTTTCTCTGTTTATATGGGGTCTGTTGCAAACAAACCCCCAACAACCTAGCAGTAAAGTATCAATTAAATATAGTGGCATCATTTTTACCCATACAAAGGATGTAACAAGGCCCTTGATCCCTGCTGCTCCAGAGATGCTGGCTGACCCTGCTTTCTCACTTCTATGTCATTAGTTCATGGGTGGGGCACCTGTTCCATGGAGGACCGATGTGGGTGCAGGTTTTTGGGATGGCCTCTCAATCAGCCAATAACAGTAGATCCTCAGGACTGGAGGTGAGAACCACTGTTTTATTATTGGCTGATTGAGAGATCATCCCAAAAACCCGCACCGACACCAGCCCTCCATGGAACAAGTTCCCCACCCCTGCTTTAGATGAATAACATTAATGTACAGGATCCCTCTTAACCGTGTGGGCTGTGATGAACCATGTTGTTGTAGGTGGCATTGAAGCCGGGTTGTAGTCTAATGGACTGGATCAGGTTAACCAAGAGTGGCAAAGACTTGACTGGGTTCCGGGGAAGGCTCATCGAGGTTACTGAGGAGGAGCTGCGGAAGCACAACACGCGAGACGATTGCTGGACCTGCATACGAGGTCAGACAAACACACAACCATTTATTAGTTTAAAGACATGTAGACATGTACTGTACAATGCACAGTAAAAGTGATTTTTTAAATGACATGTTGGACTGTGCCAGTGTTAGTTATTATGCTATAAATACTGGTTTGCTATGCATGCTTGCATATCATAAGGCTTTAGTGCAATGACTGCTTTCCACCTGCAAGGTGTGTTCTTCTGTGGGTTATGTTTGCAGCACAAGTTCTTCTTGTGTGTTGACTGGTTTGTTTTCTTGATTGAAAGGCTCATCTAGCTGTTTCACATTAACATTAGTGACACATGCATGATTATAAGAAGAACTCAGTGCTTAAGTAAAATCTAGATTCGTTTAATTGAAATGGTAGTTTACAAATCCTGTCCTAGCTGAGTGTCTTCCCTGAAATAGATTATCAGGTCACCCTAATGCTGGTCTTTTACCAAACCTGTATTTACTAATTTACTGTAGCAAAGCTAATCTTGAGCATTTGCTATTGTTCAGTTGCTAATACAGGCTTTTTTTGTCCTTATAAGGAATATTTCAGTATAATTGTTTCTGTTTTGATATATTCTGAGGGAAGGTAAAACGTAAACCTTTATAAAAAAGATTCCTGGCAGAAGTCTGCATTTAACTAGTGTCCCATACTTTTGCCAGCAGAGGGCATATTTGCCCTTTCAAATAACCTTGCATGTCACAACAGCAACTAAAAATGACTAATCTCACAATGTTGTGTCTAACTGCAAAGTGCATGCATATTCATTTTGTGTTGAGAAACATCATCTTGCTGTGAAAATATATTATGTTTGTGATTTTTGAGCGTGTATGAATTTTGTGAGGATCTATACAGTCTGGTTATATATTTTATATCCATGTGGTTTTCTTATGATGATGGAGTGGGTGTGTGTTTTGTATACCAATGGTGTGTGTCTTCCAGGTATGGTCTACAACGTGAGTCCTTATATGCAGTTTCACCCCGGGGGGGAGGATGAACTGCTGAAGGCGGCTGGTGTGGACGGCACTGACCTGTTCGATCAGGTGATTCAAAGATGCCACCTCGCTCACACATTTCTGCTTACACTTTAGCGTAGCTTTGATTTTAATGCAACAATAATGCCTAGACATAGGGTTTGACACGTGCGATGGCCTGATGTTGTGAGGCCAATAAAAAATATGTAGAGCGGGCTGATTGGCCAGTTGCTGATGTTTCTGCCAATGACAGTTACTATGTAGCATGTCAAAGGTAAGTTATTCAGCTGGCCAATTTGTGTCAGTGTAACTTTGCTCAAAAACACACAAAAATGCGACTGTCATATGTCAATCAACCAGTCAGCTAGCAGCCAAGCCTCAGTATGCTACATAATCCATCTGCCTTAAGCGTAGCTACTAGCTGGCTAGCTAATTTATGAGACTGTTTAATGTTTAGTGCCCATTGCATTGCGAATACAAAAATATGGAAGTACTTAAAGACAATACTCCCAATATCCATTAGTGCTTCATGCCGCTTGTTTCTTTTGCTTTTGTCCATGATGACATGTTATCCAATATTGACACGAATACATACAGTAAACTGGTTAAATTTGCAGACGACACTAAGGTGGGCGGGGTA